GGTCTTGCAGAGCATCATAAGTGCATCCTGGGAAACATCGCAGCCGCTTTAGTACTGCAGTTATCACCAGAATTAGGACTGTCAGTGTGTGGGGGACAATCGTGCCTACAATTTCGAAGACTTTTAAAGCCTCCAGTGAGCTCGTCATGCACATGCTGTTGTACGAACGATAAAAAAAATCATACCCATACATTGTTAGCGGAACAAAGAATACAGCAAAAAGACATGGCGATATGAAGATAACAGCAGTTAAAATGTTCTTCCATCGTTGGTCTAATCTAGGTTTAAACTGCATCGCCTGAGATGCAAAAACACACAGAAGAATTACAATGTACCAGTTGCCGACAAAGTCTTCAATGCGGTAAATGCTTTCGTAAACTGAGTAGATAATACAATGCGAGAGGTGATATGCCTCCAACATAAGCGCAACCGAAACAACAGAACGAAAACCGCAGAGTATCACAGTCTCTGTTAAGTTAACAACCAACACACCAACAATAATTTTGTTGCGCATCCGTGAGCGAATTTCATGAGATAGCAACATGGCTGCCAGAAACCAAACGTTGATCAGTGTACCAGCAACCGCAAATGTTATATTCACTATTAGTAAATTTCTCAATCTATTTTTGTAAATGTATGGAGCTTCCGTTGGGGGTTGTTCCCAAGGCGGCGAATTGTTCTCAATACTAAAATTACTTGACATTTTCTCGGGTAGGTTGTGTTTCTGACGTTGAGCAAATAGGAAGGTTGTTTAAGACCCTGTCTTCAGAATCCGGTTTTGTTCAAGATGCGTGTCCTCTTCTAAGTATGTAGAAAAAAAAATTAAAACAATTATTAATACATAAAGATAAAGAAAAAACATATAATGCATGTAAATGTGCTTGTTTGCTCTAAATCTTTAGATATTGAAATGAAAAATACATGAAGTAAGGCGTTGAGTTGAGCAGATTCAAAAACCAATATCTCAGGACAAAAGCGCTCCCTCCCCATCTTAAGCAGCATGCTCAGGTTTCCATTACTAGTGGTACCAGCAGCAGTCTCATTAAACAATAATAATATTTGAAAAAGAACAATTATGATCTGCGTATTTTAATAGATAATCCATTTTAGATGGTTTAAAGACTAGGCTAACCAGCTGTCAGAGTTTCAAAGCACTAAAGATGATAGCACCTCATCTCATAGATTTAGTTACGGAGACCATTCGTTGCCAGAGATTGTGAACTCTAAGCTTTAGCGACGGGATGCTAGATTCAGGAAGGTGATCCCTAGAAACCTCAGAGCTTAAGTTAGTTAGTTAGTCTTTTGTCTTGAGCCTAAGGCTGCGCATAGGGAAGAGGTCCTAGCTCTAAGTGTCTGGCGGTTCGTTGCCACCTGCTTTGAGTTTTAAAAATTCACTAGGCCCATTGTTGAGCCTTCTCTGATGATGGTTCTACGCAGAGTCTCTCCTGGTCTTTACCCTTTTCTTTTTTCCCTTCAGTGTCCATATGAGTGCTTGATGGAGAAGTCTTGATGTATCCATTCTAAGTGCATAGCCGAGTTTTTTTTTCAGCGGCGATCAAAATTCTGATTTATAAATGATATCTCTACATATTCGTGACAGAAGACCAGCATTTTAGGCGGTGCTATCTAATTCGTTCATTCTTGCATATTATCTTTTTCTTCTTTTTCTTCTTCTTCGTCTTCTTCTTCTTCTTCATCTTCTTCTTCTTTCTTCTTCTTCTTCTTCTTCTTCTTCTTCTTCTTCTTCTTCTTCTTCTTCTTCTTCTTCTTCTTCTTCTTCTTCTTCTTCTTCTTCTTCTTCTTCTTCTTCTTCTTCTTCTTCTTCTTCTTCTTCTTCTTCTTCTTCTTCTTCTTCTTCTTCTTCTTCTTCTTCTTCTTCTTCTTCTTCTTCTTCTTCTTCTTTCTTCTTCTTCTCTTCTTCTTCTTCTTCTTCTTCTTCTTCTTCTTTTCTTCTTCTTCTCTCTTCTTCTTTCTTCTTCTTCTTCTTCTTCTTCTCTTCTGCTCTTCTTCTTGAGTGGTAGTTTCTTCTTCTTCTTCTTCTTTCTTCTTCTTCTTCTTTCTTCTTCTTCTTCTTCTTCTCGTCTTCTTCTTCTTCTCTTCTTCTTCTTCTTCTTCTTCTTATCTTTTTCTTCTTCTTCATTTTCTTTTCTTCTTCTGCTTCGTATCCTAATAAACATTTGGAGTTACTCGGCTTAAAAAAATAAACATGACTGTAACTTATAAAGAAATATCACTGAAATAATTTATCAAAATCGGGATTCATTAAGGCGTCTTGCGTGAATAGTCTTTGTGAAATGAGTAAACAGTATGTACTCACGCTAGACAAACCAGCTGCCGAAACGTCGAAGTACCAATGTTTAACGCCAAATAATGAAAATCATTTCCAAAGTCCTGAGTTAAACACTGAGCTATCTCTTTTTCCAATATAAGTAGGCGCAACTCTTGTACGCTCTCATCTACAACTTCCCGACAAGTGACGCGATATCCTGCCTGCACTGGCAAATGTCCAAATTGGTGCCGTTAGATTTAAGCTTCTGTGCACGTGCTCCGTCAGCGATTCTTAAAATATGCAGTTGAACTTCTAACTGCAGTCCTTGAAGTGATGCGTGCCAACATGAACGGAGCATCTCCGTCTCCAGCCTTCTCAGCAGGCCTTAAACCTGCTACAATCATTCTCCAGAGATCAGAAAGGTAATTTGTCTGCCTCCACCTCCATTCACAAACTAGTTGACGTGGTATCATCTCCTTTGCTTTGTTATGCTTAGCGACATTCATTCTATTTTGCCGTAAACCCCACTGAGCTTTTTTTTTTCTCTTGCCTGTCAATGTGGGGGAGAACTGATGCTAGAAGTAGACTTTGGTGAGAAAGGTGAAGGAAAGAGAGGTTAGTGTTTGGAAGGGAAGTCGTCCCATGGAAACATCTAGTAACTGTTTTTTGTATAGATTTATCTCTTTCCCTTTTTTTTTTTTTTCTACGTTCAGCTGCAGTTGTTGTTTAAAAAGAATTTTGACCCGTGACCTGAAACCCGTTCCTAAAGATAAAATCGAGAGGATCGACTTCAATGTACTGGGTTTCTATCCCATTTGGCTCGGTCTTTCTCCACATAGCGGCTAACCACCTGCACACAGCGTCGCACATCGCACTAATTCCATAACTTTTGGCTCGAACGCCGACTCCGTGAAACGAACCCATGAAGATTGAGGGTTAAACCCTAATGGGAATTCCCCAAGTGATGCGATATCTGTTCTTGATTAAGCTCAACCCACCTCAGGGATCTCAGTTCGCCCACGTAAAACGAATGGCGCAGCCAGTGAAAACGACTCCACGACCTTCTAAGGGCAAAGGAAAGGTCCCTACTACTTCACCACTGTTTACACTTCAAGCGGACCCGCTACCTGAAGGTTTGATAACATTCCGAGATTTTGAGAATCCGACCCTGGGTGGCAAACGGCCAGGCAAAATTCTAGACAGGCCGATCAACTTCTATGTAAATAGCAAATGAGTCACACGTACAGCTACACCTAAGGGCGTTGGAATCTGAAGAACCCTTCACCTCGGGCACCCCCTACCTTTTAAAATTATTTTTTAGATGTGCTGCAGTCCACCACCGATCCACCCCTCCCCTTTTTTTTCCCGCATAAAGTATTTGGGTGGGTTGAGCGCCCTGCGATCTTTTCTCGCTAGAAAATTGGCATTAGATGAAATGTTCTATTAATGTTTTTAAATGTTTTGTTTTTAATAGTTTTTCAATGTGTTGTTTTTGATGTTTTTCAATGTGTTGTTTTTGATGTTTTTTAAAGTGTTGTTTTTGATGTTTTTCAATGTGTTGTTTTTGATGTTTTCCAATGTGTTGTTTTTGATGTTTTTTAATGTGTTGTTTGTGATGTTTTTCAATGTGTTGTTTTGAATGTTTTTCAATGTGTTGTTTTTAATGTTTTTCAGTGTGTTGTTTTTGATGTTTTCAATGTGTTTTTTGCTTTGATGTTTTTCAACGTGTTGTTTTTGATATTTTTTCAATGTGTTGTTTTTGATGCTTTTTAATGTGTTGTTTTTGATAATTTTTTATGTTGCTTTTAATGTTTTTCAAAATTTTATGTTTTGAATGTTTTTCAATGTGTTGTTTTTGATATTTTTCATTGTGTGGGTTTTGATGTTTTTCAATGTGTTGTTTTTAATATTTTTCAATATTTGTTGTTGTTAAGATTTTTTCGAATGTTTTTCAGTGTGTTGTTTTTTAAATGTATTTTATTGTGTTTTTGATTTTTTTTTTTTTTTTTTTTTGACGTGTTTTTTTCAATGTTTTTTTTGTGTTGTTTTTCAATTTTTCAATGTCTTGTTCAGTGTTTTTAATGTGTGTTTTAATAGTTTTCATTGCGTTGTTTTTAATGTTACGCGTTCTTGAACTAATAATAATAATTGTCAGTAATAACTATCAATAATATTATTATTATGAAACAATTTAACTAGGTTTACACCCCTTGAGTAGGGTGACCGTAAGTTGCATTTTCGCCATGATATTATTGGTTTTTTTGTTTTTTTAGTATCGACCCGACAGTCTAGGCTGACGCTATTGTCACTCTACCAATGGGCGCCACCCCGATGTTTCCCTTATGACCGCGCCCATGGTTATACCAGCCTGCAGTTCTGTGCTGGGCAGTCTGACACTGTTTGCCAGTTAGTTGGCACTTACCCGTTGTTTCCTTCAAGCTAGCTTGACCTGGCAAACCGCGTCAGTATTTATATTGTATCGATTAAGTGGGATGGGAGCCTGTTACTACTGTGCTGGCAAACAGGAGTAATCGCTACCGAAATAAATCTTAGTTATTGTATGATATTTACATCACATCTCTCTCTCTCTCTCTCTCTCTCTCTCTCTCTCTCTCTCTCTCTCTCTCTCTCTCTCTCTCTCTCCGCGCTAATGTGTTTTTACTTGCTATTAATTTGCAGTTTGCTATTACCATCATTATTATCATCAAATGCCTTGACATCTGAGATAGGTGTTCATGCATCTACACAAATTTTGGTCTTTGGTGTTATGTATCAACTTCACTGATGATATTCCTTTATGAAACTGTCTTCAGCCATCCACCACCATTTCTCTTGGTCTGCCTATTCTAACAGTGATCTTTATAGTAGTCACGATATTTTCCAATGCTCCTCTTCTCATCACATAAGCAAATAACCTGCTATGAACATAACACAGATATATGTTGAATGTTCAACTAACGTGGACATCACAGCGATAGGAACATACCCATAAGCGCCTCACCCCTATCTTCAGCAGTAGAGTTCAATTCCGATGCACCAGTAACTGTCTGACCGTATATCCGTCTCACCCATTCTCTGAGTGCTGAGTGTCGGCCAGCTCCCCTACTCACTCCCCTCTGCAACATTCTCTTCAGACCGCAATGACCTATTTGTGCCGCCACACGGATCACACGCTTCCAAAGGACCTTTACAACGTCCAGCTTGCAATGCATCAGTTAACCACCAAGTGGTTCAGAGCCAGTCAGTCTATGTTACTGTTGGTTTCCGAGAGCACTGGCATGACCAAAAGAAAACATCCAAAAGACGTTAACTACCTCTGACCTCCAAGGAGCTCAACCTGTCTTCACATGTACCTCAACATGATCTCTCAGTGACAGCTGCTTAGGAAGTTACAACGTTGATCATAACGATTTAGATTTTAGTGCATGACAGAC